CTGGCTCACTCAACTATATGTGGGAAGGCTAGACCCCACTGAATTCTCAGTCGTTTAGATTTTAGCGATAACAGGTTACGGAACAGATAAAAACAATTTATAATTCTGGACTCACTTGTAATGTGCAAACCCATTGTAGGCGGTACGTTTGACTAACCTTGATCACAAGGGTCAAAACCATTTAAGGCGGAAGTTAACTCCTTCTATTTCGTATTTGTATTCTTTGCAAAGCAAGTTGTCTTGCTCCCGGGGGTAGGGGAGGGGGGTTAGTACATGTATCAGGGTTGGGGAACGCTAAGCAGAGAAACATTTTGGCCTAATCATCGGTGGAAAGAATATGTTGATTATGAACTAAACGCAAGAGGATTATTAGAAAAAAAATATATAGGGCTATAGAAGACCACTCCTTCATTCTCTTAACTACCCTGGGCCGGGCGTGGCCTAGTGGTTAGGAGAATAAAATAATGTGCAGGAGTGTGAAACCGAGAGATCTCGATTTGCGCCCTGTTGCTGCAAAATCACACCCCAAAATTTGGGGCCTTGAGTGCATTAAAAGGGTGATATTCAATTTTCAATATTCCGTTAGAATAGCCATATAGTGGGCGGTGAGTGCTTTTGTCTTGTCTGCCTTCAGTCTAGTTTATCAGTTCAAAATTCAGTATAATAAAATGATGTGGAACCATTAACCACGATTTATTTAACAACGGGGGACTGGCATAACTTTGTAGTTAAAGCACTCGACTTGCAATCTACAGGTCACAGGATCGAATCCCGTTCTCGAAAATGCTCGCTCTTATAATGTGACGGTCAATCCCACTATTCTTTGGTATTGTTTGTTTGTAATTATGCACAAAACTACACAATGGGCTATCTGTGCTCTGCCAACCACGGGTATCGAAACCCGGTTTCTAGCGTTGTAAGTCCGCATACATACCGCTGTGCCACTAGGGGCTATTCTTTGGTAAAGAGTAGCCCAAGAGTTGGCATTGGGTGATGATGACTAGCTGCATTTCCTGTAGTCTATAACTTCAAAATTAGGGATGGCTACAGATAGTCTTCGGGTAGCTTTGGACAAATATTCACAGCAAACAAACAAAAAAAACTGAAAATTAAAAATCCATCGACATTCTGGTCTAAAACGAGGTTAAAAAACAGGAAGTTTGGGAACCAAGAGCTAGGCGTTTTGATGTCAACTTTGACATTCTTCGGTGACAGTTCGAGTACTTTGTCGACTTATGATGCTAAAAATAATGTTTCGATACTCGCGGTAGAAATAGATCAAACAGCCCATTGTGTAGCTCTGTGCTTAACAACAAACAAACAAACTATTGAAATATCATATATAAATACACGTTTTAATATAATACTCCAAAATAATAAAATTTGCATTTGAAGCTGTAGTTCGGCAAAACTTCGTAGCCTGCTACAAACATTAATTACAGTAAAGGTATAAATTACTTTGTAATAAGCAGTCGTTAGAGCGCAGTATCATTTGCATTATTTACACATCTAGTTGTCAGTTGGGCTGAGGTTTAACTTGGTATGCTTCCTAGCGAGAAGGAAAAGTCTCGAGACTGATAACAAAAATATAGCCTTTCATATAACTAAGCATGTATAGTTTTGTTTTGTTTTGGTGTCTTTTGTTTTTTTTTGTTACTTCTTTTAGGTCTTTTATAGCTAGTAGCAGTTACCCGCCAAGTATGGCTTAGTCCAAGTTTGATAATCAAGGGGAGACGAAGCTTGATGGTGGACAAAAAGTAGTTATTCGGGTTTGGTAAGCTCAACAAGCTGTCGATTTTCTAAGCGCCTACATGAATGTGAAAGTATGAATACGTTTAACTCAGGCTACGGTTGACTCTTCTCATTATGTTGCAAAGCCAACTCAATAAGCATTCAAAGGTGATTTTGTCCATAAGGAACTCGGTAATTTATCTGTCGTGTCAATTATGTTGACATGTACGTCATATACCCGTCAATAACTGTCAACACTCCCATGTCAAATATGACATTCATTTCTTTTGCCCCGAACAACGACACACACGGGTTTTTCTTGTGCTGGTCGAAGTATTACACCCTAACTGCAGAGATTACTTTGAAGAAGGACTCAGGTTAGTGAATACAACGTTGCTTTTTTCTTCCCTGAAAAAAAACAAACAAAAAACATAAGGTACACAGAGTACTTAAAGAACTGAGTGATGAATTATTTTTTTCATCAACCTCAACATTTAGGTTTATTCTTGATTAGCTTGGATCAGAATTCGATTCATGGAACAGTTAACAATTTTAACCGTTTTCACGTGTGTTAAGGATACCTTGTTTTTGACACACTTATTTATGGAATTTTCTTTTCGTGTGTAATTCAATAGAAAAAACTAAACCACTAAGGGAGAGAACAGATGAATTCAAAGATCATACTATTCTTCCTATCGTATTTTTTCTTATATTCTGTATATAGCCTATTCAATATACGATATACCAAAACAAACTTTATTTTTTCTTTGCCCCATGTAGCTCAGCGGTAAATCTGAGGGCTTGTAATGCTAACATTGGGGTTCAATACCCGTTGTGGGCACCATTGTGTAACTTTACGCCTAACAACAAACAAACAAAAATAATTTTCTTTTGTGAATTTACATGGAACGGACGTGGATTAGGTCTTCAGAAAAAGGTGGGGAGTTAGCTGTTGATAAAAGAACCAAAAAAGTACCTAATTAAAAAAAGGGGGGATAAAATATATATATATATATATAGTATAAAGAATGTACTTAATCACATCACATGGTTGAATTTCATTGTCTAAAAATGCTCGAACATAAAAGATAAATTAACAAATAAGTGTGTAAAATAAAGAAGTTTTAATTTTCAGTATCAGTACATAAGTCTAAATCATAACTACAATCAATTTTCTTCTAAAGATTCTGTATCACACGAAATATCTCTCTCCTTTTTTCATCAATTTACGTATAGTTTTTTAAAATCTTGTTTTCAAAGGGGTCGTGTTTTGTTTTACATAATGTTTGGGGTGTATGTCCTGACCACATGTCAGTAATTTTTCTAAGTCTTTAAATACATTCAGTCGGATTTTTCAAAAGCTCAGCTGTGAAGTTTCTGTGTATTCAACACAGACCATTTTCTCAATAGTTTGATTTATCACTATACAAAAAACGTGAAACATTAATTTCAAGATATTTGTCTCCAGATTATATACCACAGTTTCGAGTTATTTCAGCTTTATCATTGAACACAATTCTGTAAGTCTGGGGCTGAATGTTTTGCCTAGTAGTTAATTTATCATGGTTTGAGATTATTTGCTATAAAAACGCGCTTCCCAATTTGGGGACATAGTTTTGCTATAAAGGTGGCGATAAAATTTCGCTGTTTGCTCAGACAAAAGTCGGTGACTAGTTGCATTCCCTCTAGTATATTAATTCAAAATTAGTAAAAGTGGTGCTCTAAAACCCATTGTTCAAATCTAATCTTTGAATGAAAATTCTAAATCAATTTATTAGTGTTAGTTCGATTTTGTTAGATTGATTTTCCTTATAAATCTAAACAAAAATCAAAATAAAGCGGAGAAAAAGTCGATAATGATTAAAGATCACTTGTGCAGCAGTTCGTGAGGCTTAGGTGAAAACAATTTGATTCGGATGACGTTCTTGAAAATCGTAGTGCAAAGCAAATACTTCAGAACGAACTGAGGAATTGACGGTTACAAATGATGGAACATTGTCTCTGACATTAACACGTCTTTTTATGTTAAATGAGCCGAAACCTACCATTTGCCACAGGTGGCGATAAATTGCTGGGAATCCTAGAAAACCTTTGTCATTTTCGAATATTTTTTTTTTCTTTTAGAGGGGGGGGGGAGGTCAATTTTGCGTAAAATCATTTATCACCATGTTCTGCCAAAGTATTTGTGTGCAGTCTTATAAACGTTATTTTCAAGCTATTAATCATGTACCAGATCTCATTACGAGAAAACACATGATAAAAGAGTAAGAGCGTGGACTTCATAGAACGTTATTTGGTATTGAAAAAGGAAGGATTCGCAGTTGGTGATGCTGTTTTTCTTTATTGGTAATTGTCTTAGTTTCGTATGAAAGTGTGGCAGTGTTAGAGATTATTTAGTTGCCAGATACGTTATCATTAAAAGTCTGACTGATCAGTTGTAATAGATAAATCTTAATGAAACAAAAAAAATATCATCGTGTGTATTGTTTATGTATGTTTTAGGGAAGTCTATAACACTGATTTATAGGTCGTTTTGTCGATTAAAGCCCAGATGAAATGGGCTTCGCGAAACATTCCGTGTGCTACGTTAAATATGATTCAAACACAAATTAAATAACATTTTTTCTGTTAAAAAATGATTTGAAAACTCAGAATAAGCAAGTTACACCCCCTAGCGGCACAGCGGTATGTCTGTAGACTTACAACGCTAGAAACCGGGTTTCGATACCCGTGGTGGGCAGAGCGCAGATAGCCCGTTGTGTAGCTTTGTGTTTAACTTCAAACAAACAAAAGCTAGTTACGTAAAATATTCTTAGATTTGTTAAACATTTCTGCCAGTAAGCCACAATCTTTGAATCCAAGAATAGTCAGCATATGAAAATATGTTTGTTTTGAATCTCGCGCAAAGCTACACGACGGCTATCTGCGCTAGCCGTCCCTAATTTAGCAGTGTAAAACTAGAGGGAAGGCAGCTAGTCAACACCACCCATCGCCAACTCTTCGGCTACTCTTTCACAAACGAATAGTGGGATTGACCGTCACATTATAAGGTTCCCCAAGCATGTTTGGTGGGACGGGGATTCGAACCCGCGACCCTCAGATTGCGAGTTGAGTGCCCTAACCACCTGGCCATGCCGGGCCGATGAAAATATGATATATATATACACACCCTTTATTTCGGAACTACTGCAAAAACTACTATATTTTAGACGGAAGATATATTTTAATAATTTTATCGATTTGGTAAAAGTGTGCTTTACATTTTTCAGAACTCGGAAGAAGACCTTCCAGAATGTTCTCATTTCGAAGTGTGTAATAAAGTAGACACATATTCTACTCCGTGGATAGAGCGTCAATGTCGGTGTGCAGGCAAACAGTCCTGCCCTTTGTCCTCCGAGGTAGACGATGGCCATTCTGTCTTGGACAAGTCAAGACAGTTTAAGGTATTTACTTACTTTATTATGTAATAAGATGTGTTATATACATGAATATATTAATTTACTACAAAGTGGATCTTTCAGAAATAATCCATTGAATCTGTCAAGATACCGTTAGCATAAGAAAGAAAAATCTGGAAATATAAGAATAACTTTTAGTATGTTAAAATGTCAAATGAATCTTGTAATTTTCGGATACGTTTTTTGTGACGCTATGCAAAAGTCTTGCTATTAATGGTTGAAATCACGAACAAACGTAACTCGAACTGACTCGTGTTCTTCTTTTTCTTTAGCGTAACTAATTATGTGACACAAATAAAATGATCGTATATTATTCCGCTAACCAATGTCGGTCAACAGGGAGATTGCAGCCAGTTTGCAAGACGGTTGACAGAAATGTGTATTTTAAAGTATAGTGTTTTACAATGTAAATTAAAAATACTTTAAAAAGTTAATATTGTATCAAGTGGCGTATTAAATACACGAAGTCAATAAACGGTATTTAAGATCAATTTCCTTACTGGCTATAAAGTTGAAAAAAATAAATTTGGTAATTTGAAATGTAGGAACATGATAACATAAGACGATTTTGTGTTAGGTAGGTTCAAATCATCAGAGAAATATCGTTTTATAATAACTTCAACATTTTTAGCACCAGTAGGGATAATTTTTCTTGTTAGCATCAACTCCCGTTCGTTTCAGTTACTCTGACGGAGTTTTGAAGAACTAAAATAAACAAATACGTAATTTAAGCTGGTAATTTCTTTTGATGCCGTAATACAAGTAATAATGATGTTTATATGAAATTCGATTACCTACTAAACTTATTTATCAAAAATTCTGTTTAATCTTGCTCTCACTTAAGAACTTTATTTTTCAAATATTTAAAAAAAATCTTGTTACTTTCTTAATTTGTAATAAACTCGTTGTCGAATAATTTATATTTTGTTCCAGATACTGATATTAACATATCTTTTGTTTTACAGCTTTGTGAACCTGTTAGTAAGTTACCAACCTGTCGTTACTTCCGTGATGTCACGTGGACGCATGTCAGTCACCCTGACAACACGACTCAACAAATTATGCATTGCGTTTGCCCAAAAAATAGTGTGGCCTACATCTTAAAACATCAAGCCTATTACACCCCTGCAGGAGTCGGTTATAGATACGCCTTCGTCTGTTCTCCTCAAAGTGTACGTTTGTGGTCTCCTTTTTAATTATAAATACGCGTTGCCTTGCATTTTGGTTATTTTTTCACAAATGTAGAAATCCTTCTAACATTTAACAACACCTGCTCGAAAATACCGTGATTGTCAGATTCACAAAATCACGAAAACTGAAATGTTGCTTAGGCCTAAATTATATTCTTTAAAAATTAAAGTAGCCAACACTTATTGAATGGAATATTTAAAAAAATAAAGAAATTCTGCATATTTAGTGATTTTTCGTACAACTTATATTTTCTTTATTTATTAGTGGCAGCGTTGTCAGAGGAAGGAGCCATGTCGCCTTTTTACCGTAAAGAAAAGACCTGGGGTGGAGGATGTCAACACCAACAGACTTTGCGAGTGTCCTCTTGGATTCACTTGTCCGGAGAAGTACAACGAACCTTCAGTGATGGTGGACACAATAGGATTTCAGGATCAAACTCGGACCTACAGTGGCTACTGCGCTCCTGCAGTGGACTGACATATATCAGCTTGAAACTATAGTGACATCTACTCACAAAAAAGCTGCTGGTCTGAAATTAGAAATACTCTCGAGAAGGGTAGTCGTTGGTGGAATTAAAGACTCTTCCTAGGCCCACCTGACTAAATATTAAATTATTCAAACTTTCTTACTATATATGGACCATAAGACCTGACTTTACTTGTCAGGAACTTTATTGTCTCGACTCAGGAATCTGGAAAAGAAATGTACAAATAACATGACTGTTACGTTCCAGTTTCAGTCAGAAAGCGCCTGGTGGAATAGTGTAAAGTGAGGAGTATAGTTTAACAGGGTATTAAGAGAGATATACCGGTATTTATAAAAGGAACTTCAAGGAAGAAGTTTAAATACGACATTTAATGCGAAGATAAAACCTATTTGTAAATTTCTTAATGTTATAAACATTTTATGTCGACTCCATTATATAGTTTGATAAACTAATTTAGTTTATTTTAGTCATAATTTCACACATAATCTAGAAGTTCAGAGTGAATGTAATACGATTTTATCTTGAAGGATCCAACAGCTTTAGCGTTATAGTACTTTAAGATAGGTGTAAAAATCAACGTAGTTTTGTGTAGATAAGTGTATACTTCTTATTCTAGACATATAGAATTTTTTACATTTTTTTAACGTAGTTGAGACAACTGTAAATAACGTACTGACTGAATAGAACAAAAATAGCACAAAATATCAACAATCAGTATTGGAAATTTGAAATGGCATTGCTGACATATTCTCTGGATTGAGCTAAATTTAAGCTAACAACGTGGTTTTCGAAGAAAATATATCAGTACCTGATATATATTGTTTTGTTTAGACAGAGAAACAGAACGCGTTTTTCTCTTTAGATATAATTATTTATAAGTTTTAGTCTCTGTATTTGAACAGTATTTCAGATCACTTATATTTAGTTTTTATAGTGTGTGTGGTTTGAATAAACTTTGTCAAGATGGTTTTTAAAATAGCATTATGTTTTGTTGTTGTTGTTTTTAATTAACACAAAGCATCGTATATGTAGGCTTAACTTTAGTATAAGCCACCGTGGTACATTCTTTTCTGATTGAATATGAAGTAAAAAGTCACGTATATAAAGTATAATGATTCTTTTGGGGCACAGAAAACGCATAGGGTATCTTGTAAACCTTTTCCAGGTTTTATAATAAAGAAATCGTTTAGGTATAATAAATTTATGTTCACTAAATATTATTTTTCCTGTCGTTGCTCCTGCAATTAGTATCGACCTCAGCAAGCGCGAGGCGCCAATCAACTAGTTTCAAAATTGATGTACATTTTAATTAAACAACAACAACAAAGAAATAACACTTTTATTATCCATAATATTATCTAAAATATCCAAAAGATCGCATTTTTGTATTGATGAACCTGTTGACTCTTAATGTTTAAAACGTAGATTTAAATTAAATTGATTTTAATAGGTCACCTAAATATGTAAGAGTTCCATTTTACATAATAAGAAAAAGCTTGAAAGTTTAAAAAAAAGGTATTTTATAACACTAAAATCTGGAATTCGATTCCTCGCGGGGGACAAAGCACAAATAGCTCATTGTGTAGCTATGTGCTTAACAAACAAGCAAACAAAGTAAGACAATTGTTAAATTGGTCAAAAATTATAAAAATATATTAATCCACGGAAACAAGTCTTAGCAATTATGAGAAAAATTATTTTTATGGATTAAGATACTAGTTTAGAATCTTAGTTTAGGCTTTTCGTCTTCCTTGTTAATTATATTACTTGTATTTAATTTTTATTTCACTTTTAATGGAAGAGTGCCAGACATTTTTTCCTGTGGTGCATTAATTATTTTTAATATATACTAAACAATAATTTTTTATGTCTTTGTTATTACCACATATTCGTTCATTATAAAATTAGAATTTTTAGTCGATTCGCCAGAGGTCTCTGAATCAAACACAGTATTTCAACATCGTTTCACTGTCTACCTCTCTCTCTCTTTTTTGATATTTCATTCTATTTTAATCTGTTGAGGTAAGTTACCATTTTATAATTTTCGTATAAAAATATTGAACCTTATAATTAGGTTACTTTGATAAACGTTATTTTGAAATATGCTCTAGTAGATTATTTGTTTTCCAACTGCAATTAACTAAGTTTAGTTCAAATTTCATGTTTGTATAAATTGAATATTTTGTATAGAAAAAATGTGAATAAAAGTTTTCTTTAGTAAAATTAAATAACGCTGAATATGAGTATATTTTTCTTCGTTCATGTTCGGTTCCATAGGCCAATGATAAGTTTACGGATTTAAATGCCAACATTCGGGATTCGATTCCCCGTGGTGGACTGAGCACAGATAGCCCATTATGTGGCTTTGTTTTGAAACAAAACGCAGATTCATGTTTGTCGTGATATAATTTTTTTTTTAATTTCTTTCCGTAAAGGAGATTCACTGACATACCAAAACTAAGTTATTTGTAAATCAAACAACCTGTGAAAGTTTTAATTATTAAGCATATTTAACATACATATGGTATTCTACAAAATAAACGTGTTTTGTCCAAAACTTGTAAATTATTAAAATAAAGCAATCTTGTCAAAGTTTGTTTCAGAATTTCCCACAAAGTTACTCAAGGGCTATCTGTGTATATTCGTCCCAGTGTCGAACTTACAGACTGTAGGGAAGACGGCTAGTAAACATTTCACCCTGCCATCTCTTGGCGATACTTGGATTTAATTGACCGCAGTAGTTTTATTTATAACAATATTGTCAGTCTAACGAATACATTTTTATTTTTTGTTTGAATAGCATCATAAGACGTTAGAAACAGGGGATGAATATGAACGTTTAGAGAGTTCGGCAGCCCCCAGAAGCACCGCGATCTGATATATAGTCTATTATAATGTGCTTGGAGACGGCTTGAATGATGACAAAACCTTGTCGAAACGCTGTACATTTGCTGTTTTGTTAAACTTATATTAAAGTTTTTTTTCCATTACCCATTCAAGCATTATTAGTCTCAGAGTTGGTTCCTGGCCATCGAATTTAAATAGTCTATCATAGTTTTAAAATTCTCTACATTGCGACTCCGCTGACAAGAAAGGGTTATTTTTTTTCTGCACCCCACAATAACTTTTTGTCACCTTATACCCCCAAATAAAAAATCCTAGAAACGCCACTAAAAAGGATGTATATGCCGTTAAAGTTTATAAAGAAAGAGGGAGAGGCAGAGACCATTGTAAAAGAACACGTAGTTCTGGATGTTTACCGACAGTACTAAGACAATTAGAAATTAGCATCATATAAATTCAGAAAAACAAACTGATATTGAAATAAGAAGAAAATGTTCAACACATATTTATTGATTGCGTTCTTCAAGTTTAAAGTATCGAACCATTAACATGAAGAAGTTGCTGTTATTTTTTATCCAGCACAAATCTACATAAAGGGCTGTCTGTGCTCTGCCCACCACTGGTATCGAAACCCGGTTTCTAGCAGTATAAGTCCACAGACATATCACTGTTTCACTGGGGAACAACACGAAGAAAACATATTATCTATCACAAAAACAAGCTCGACAATTCGTGCATTGAAGCTTCTTATTAACCCTAAAGGCCTAGTAATAGTATTTTTTTTTAAACTACACATTCTTCTTAAATTGTCCATCATGTCTTCAAATCCAAAGGTTAGCATTTCACATAGACTTATGTTCTTCACAGGCTTTGTTATTATTTTACCACAGGGAAACTTTACTGATGACCCACTGGTGGATAGGTTACCAGGCGATGACGAATACAAACATTAACTAAGTGGTTTGTAAAACATAAGAAAAACGTTTATATTACTTCCTTCTTCCCCTCGTGGGTCAGTGGTAAGTTTGCGGACTTACAAAGCTAAAATCCGAGGTTCGATTTCCCGAGGTATTTAAAGTGCGAATAACCCATTGTATTAGCTTTGCGCTAAACATACAAAAACCTAGTAACCTATATTAACTGGTACAACACAATCTATCGTATAGGTATAGTCCAATTAGAATTTATAGAGAAAAAAATACAAATAATGGTATGGTCTAAAAAGCAAAAACTCACTAGTTTATCACTGCTGCACAAAGTTTGTCTTTTTGTTATTTATATTATTATTATTAGTAGTACAGTCGTCTGTTAGGTTTTGTCACGACTAGCTTGCTGTTCGCTTCAGGCCTAATGTGCTATATACGACATCTTTGACCGTAACGGAAGTGACGTAAGCACACAACTAAACGCTCATTGGTCTAAAAGATCACGAGATTACAACAATTATAATAGAGTGTGTGTATTGGAATTTGGCGAAACAATGGGTTAATTTTAGGTTTAGATATAAAGTTAAAGTACATAAAGTTTTTAATGTATTCCGTATTTGTGATTTAAGATCTCACATGCTTTATTTGCTCAGTACACCGACTTATCCCGTTTTATATTTTTACTTGACAGAAAGAAATCCACATTAAGATGTTCAGTCAGGTTTGTGCGTTAAAAAAGTTTCGTAAAACGCTTCTGACAGTCGTAGAGTGTTCGCTTGGCAGTCAGTCAGTCATTCAAGCAATACACTCTACGAATACCAAAATAAAAGAAACAAAAACCTAAAACCTTACTCAACCATGCGTGTTATTCAACAGAGTTTCTTGGCAGTCTGATTCGTGAAAGTACATAAATATATCTGCATACATTATTACTGCGACTACGTCTATGTAGAAAGGTATGACCATTTCATTTGTAGACCGTAATAAAATAGCCCCCGGGACTTCCTGCCCTAAATAACCCCTTTGTAACCCGCCTCTTTGCTACATCATGGAGAATTAACGTTATCTGGACTACCACTAGCACCTCTGATTGCAGATGAGTTAAGACTTACTGGACTAGCCCGACTACCTCTTGCGCTATGACGTCACTATGTTTACGACGACCACAACACCTGCATTGAAAGAGTGATGACCATCTTCATAGGACAACGACCCCAGGACGCCAATTTGACGACACCATTTATATTCTTGTTTAATTTAAAAAGGGATGTAATTTGTATTTACCGAAAAAATAAAAGTTTCTCATTTCCGCAGGAATATATATTTTTTTTCAAAGGATTTTAATGAACTTCTGCGGTATTGTAATTACAAGAAATTTATTTTATCTTCTCAAAAGATATATCAGCT